ATATATATATATATATATATATATATATATATATATATACACACATATACACACACACACACACAAAATAAAATTCTAAATATTTACACTCAGCTCTTGGCTGAATTCCCATCTACTAAAAAGTCCATAATTGCACTTTAAATTGCACTCTTCAAATTCCTCACATCTCTCCCACTTGTGTGAGAGCTGCACTAATATATGAATGGCTCCACCCACTTGGTTGAAACCATCAGGGTAAGTACAAGGTAAGTATTAATTTTCCAACCTTCTAAAAAAATTGATTATAAATATTTTATACATGTCTTGTATAACACTATGTATACATTATACGTCATTAATAATGTGAAACATACTTAGTAAATACATCTTTGAACAAATAATCAAAGACATTTTCCCTCATTTCTCCCTCCCCACACACACTTAAACCAGTCCAGCTGGTGGACAATTCGCACATGCACAGACCGCGAAAGTTCCTGTCTTAAGCTCATGCCAGATCAATGAGAAAGACGCCACACGCAGCATGAATAAAGACACCAACTAACAAATATACAGCAGTGATGGTGAAATGAAGCTTTGCGAATCACCGAGGCTTTCCCCCTGAGCTGTTTCGTAAAATGGTTCATTACTAGAAGCTTTTCAACACGTTGCACACGTATGACATCTAGTGGTCAAAGGTGGAAAAAGGTGCTTTTGCGTCCCAGACGTCCAACTATTTTTGGAATGTTTCAAACAGGCACGGCGCCAGAATTTTTTCTCTACCGGTGCTAAGGGGGGGCTAGACCAATATGGCGGGGGTGCTAAGAGAATAAATGATATTGATGACATCAGAGTTACTTCATAAAGAAATTGTCGTTTTTTTTTAAATAAAAGCAGCTATGGTACACATCATATTCAACAGAAGTGTAGTTTTAATTTATATTTTGCCAACGAATAGGCAAATTCATCAAAATAGATATAATCTTAATACAAGTGACCATAAGACCACGACAAAAACATTTTACATACAAAGGCAAGACTTCAGAACTGGACAGCACCCATGCGTTTAGCATTAACAACACAATACATTTGTATGCATAATCAGAACTGTGCATACTTTACACTTAAATAAAACATTAAAATGAATCATCACAATCTTAGTGATTATTATGTAATGGATTAAATGTAGCCTATAATGCAAGAAACTGCACTCACATGACGCGGAGGTTACTGTGTGAGATATGTGCAAACAGCACCCGTGCGCTCAGCATTAACACAATACATATGCATAATCAGAACTGTGCATACTTAAAACTTAAATAAAACATTAAAACGAACACCACATCACAATCTCAGTGATTATTAATGGATTAAATGTAGCCTAATGCAGGAAACTGCGCTCACGCGGTTCACTGACGCGGAGGTTACTGTGTGAGATGTGCAAACAGCACAGGACAGCACCCATGCGCTCAGCATTTACAACACAATACATATTTATATGCATAATCAGAACTGTACATACTTAAAACTTAAATAAAACATTAAAACGAACACCACATCACAACCTTAGTGACTATGTAATGGATTGCATATAGCCTACAGAAGGACGATACGTCTGTTGCCGTGGTTGAGCGCAAATGAGGGCTAAACCGGGGCTATTCAAAATTCTGACGGGGCTATAGGCCCCCCTAGCCCCGGTGTAGCGCCGTCACTGGTTTCACATAGTAAATCAATTTGTGCTACAAAAAACATATAAAGCAAAACCAAAAAAAAAAAAATTGTACTTACACAAAATATGAATTAATGAGTCTGTGGATAAATGTATGAAAAAATAAGCATGGGTCATTTAGGCATGATAAGAATAAATGAAGATTATTGTGGAATGGTCAGTTGAAGTGCTTGTGAAGCGGGGATTAAAACAAACTGAGCATGCACAAAACATGTAAATATTTATTCCTAT